GCTTGGTGTTCTTCTTGTGTCCAGGGATTTTTGCCCTGAAGGTGACACAGAGACAATGTGCATTGAAACATCTCCCGCCTGTGAATCCTTTGGATATAGCCTGTGATTCTTCCCTGGGGTGATAAGCAGAGCACCATGTGGCTCAGGGGGCATTTGCTGGTTGTGAAGGTGATGAGAAACCTCTCACATCATGCTCCTAAGTCCCTTGTAGATTAAAAGGAATAATGTAAGTGGAATATGATCTTATTCTTACCTACATCCACATTTGGTTTAAGGGCCCAAGGGGTTTCAGAGACATGAAAATAAACCATCTGGCAAGAAGCAGCTCCTCACTGCAAGCTGTGTCTCCCCATTGCTGTATAGCCCATCAACAATCTGCCCCCCTAACTATGTAAGAGCTGATTGTACTGCAGCGCAACCTAAACTAGAGTTAAGACTGCAAGTTGCCACAGTTGGAGGATTTGCCCCATCTATGAAGAGTTATTCGGACGTACGACACAAATCTTCGCCCTTCTTTTCTGGCTCTAGTGAGAGATCATTTCACCATGGGTTGTGATGATCAGGGAGTAACTGTTCTGTCCTACCTTCAAAGGCTGTCCCACCGAGGGACACATAAAAGTCTCACTACCCTTTCTCACTACTCCATACCTACTTTCCCACGCTCCTTTACTACCGAGATGGGAGGTCATGGGCATTCATTACTCCTAACCCCCACGAACTTTGGGCTTGTAGGTTGTTATCCTGCATTTGTAAGGAACAAAATTACTTTTTATCCACTCTCATCAGTTAAAAGCACCAGTAAATTGATCAGAGAAGTCTATCGATAATACAAAATTAGGCCATACCCTACTGCAGAGTGTTTGTTACAGGGACAGATGGGTCAATGTGTGTGCTACTACTGCCCTCTCCTGCCTGGAAGGAGAACAGTGATTCACAGACCAGTCCTGTCCAGGTACTACGGGAGACACAGGTCCATGACATCATAATACTAGCATGGTATTTCCCAGGCATGCTTCCATGTCTCTCATAGTAGGTACTGTAGTCATTTGTTGGGAGTTTCAATTATTCACTAGGCATACATAAGCTCCAGGTCTATAATTTCAATAATTTCACAACTGCCCTGCCTCATGCACTTGTGACATATGACACCAGAAAAAGTGGTGGATTGTTATGCTGCCACTGAAAACAACACTGAAATTCCAAGGTTGTAAAATCACTCAAGACAAGCTTTGCCTATAGAAAGAACTGGAGTGCCATTGCCTGTGTGTGTTGCCACTGTCCACTCTGGGACAGAGCCAGAAGCCTGTAGAAGTGTGCCTTTGGCAGAACCGGTGAGGTCTTCCACTTGGTGCGGTCTTGAGAAAAAATAAGGGAAAAGAACAATATTATTTCCACAATTCCTAGTGTACAGGTGAAATTCCATTCTGGATTCAGACATTCAACTTTGATGGCTTGATTCAGTTACTCAAAGATAGGCACCTACTGCCATTTGGGCCGAACAGGATTATCCAACTGGTTACCAGCTGCTTCTCCAGAAGCCCACAGGTCTCTTTTTGTTAATGTGTTGTGTCTGCCAGTTATTATGGATGTCTTGGGTACTACATATCTATGTGTGGGTAACTAAGTAGAGCCCTTAATATCTACAGTGCAGAAGTTTCTGGTTTCCAGTAAGAGCTCCCAGTGTTACCAAGGGCATTTATACCTTGTAATCAAGCAGTCACCCACCCTGAATGGACGTAGCTCAGCTGCCATGTACAGAACTGCGGCCCATGGGCTAGTGAAGGCTAAAGACTGCTACTTTAGGTGACAACAACCCTCTTTAACACATGGAGACAACTGAACTTAAAGTAATGCTTTATTCACTGCACAGCTCAGCCCTACCTAGTCTGAGGCTATGTTGATAGTAATATAGTGAATGAAATCAGGATCATTTTCTATCATGGAATAAACCATGTTCATTGTGTTAAACTAATTGACCTCTCAAAACTACCTCTTGGAAATGGTGTCTCACATCTGCTAACTCAGGACCTGCCTAGGACAGTGCTAGTTGATGCAACAAGATGGCCTCATGGCCTGTTCTAACAATTTGATGGTTTAGACAATGAAGAATCAGAGCCTTACTTGACAGTTATCACAGGAAGAAATGATTGGGCTGTGTAGACAGTATACAGTGCTGAACACAAGTGATAGCAAGGGCAGGGTAGGAGTGAAGCACGCTTTGGTTAAAAAATGGAAAGATAGGAAATGGGTAAACAATGGGAGAAGCCATTCTATCATTCTCTTTCTCTGCACTCACCTTCTTTGACTGAGTAGGTGATGGTCTGGGCACTCCAGAGCAAGATGCTAAAAAACAAAAAAAGACCAAATTGTCATGTTTCTGGCCAAAGGGTTATGATACTGGCCTATTAACTCTAGACTCTTCAGAAAGACTTCAGGAGATGCCTATGCAATCTGCACAGAAATAAAAAATGGTTTTAGAGGGTTTTTAAGCCTGAGGTAATTCATCTTGCAGAGTTGTGGGAGACCCTGAATGGCTTCACAACAGGGGACAGAACCTCATCAGGTTTCAGCTAGGACAGATGTAGGACTGCTGAAGGCCACATCAATAATTCCACTTGATGGAGAGGCACACCGTCCTATGGGAAATATCACAGAGTATGGCAGTGCAAGGCCTTCCACATGAGACAGAGGGACAGATATACACACACTCACATGGACCAAAACAGAATAGTGTGAATAACAATTTTATTGTGAGGTTGCTTAGAGCCCTTACAGGATAATCAACATGTGGACCATGACACTGTGTGCTCAACTTGCTAGTTTTCTGAAAAGTAGCTCTGAGACTGGGTGCACAGGACCTGTTGAGTACCTCTCTGATATCTGGCCTTTGGACACCTGGGAGCTCCGCTACACTTGGAATACATCAGACTCATGGGCACACATTTGCCTCACTGTTGCACTCATCACAAGATGTTTGCTTTGGCTACTGCTAGGGATAAGATCATAGACTAGACAGGCTCTTGTTCTAATCCAGTACAGAGCTTTTTATCTTTTCCTGATCATTTACTGGAACATCTGACCATCTGTCACAAATCACCAGGTACCTCCCTTGCAGGAGCGACCAGGACTTCTTTTTTGTTAATCTGTGGCCTCTAAGACAGCATAACCATCTTTCTTTGCTTTTTCAAAGTCACAGTCCAACTCAGCAAATAACTGTCAGCCTCTCTCCCTGTCAGTACCCCAGGTGATGTTTTATTGGTACTGGAGGCTCTGAGACACCACTTTGCTGAGAAATCTCCTTGAAAAAAAAAAAAAAAAAAAGTAGGTTACTGCCTTTTACAGGTTTTCATGTATAATAAAAAAGTTTTTTCTTTTCTTTCAATCTGCCAACATTCAGTAAAGACTTTTGACATGTGAAGATAGAAGGGAACTTAATTGCACACTTGGTTCTGACACTTTTCTTTGTCAAAATATAAGAACTTTTAAGATTAACTTTTTTCAACAGGTAGAAAGTAGAGGTTGGAGGAAGGATTTTTTTTGTTGACAGGGCCGACTGGGGATAGTAGATTGTTTAGAAGCCAAAATGACTGACTGTTTTCAGTTGTTGAAAGGAACTGTTTTTCCTCTAAGGACCTGATTCATTAAAACTGTATGTTACATTTACATACATTTCTGCTGAATACCTCTCTTTGCCTGAAAGGCTAAGACGATGCTGTCTTTTCAAGCAGTCAGTGTCTAGGTCCATACAGATGACAAGTGTTTACAGAAATCAGGCTTGGACGAAGTCCAGGAGCACAGCAGGAAATAGTTTTCTGCATCTCCTCTCCTCTTAGTCAAAAGAGAGCTATGGTATCCAATCTATGTCCACAACTCACAGAACAGTGATATAATGAAGGGTAAAAAACAGGTTAGTATAGTTTACTTGCTATAAGTCAGCAACGGAGAACCTTCTAAAGACTAAGAAGCCGAGTTTACCCACTTATTTTCCACTATGCCCTTGTTCCAAAGGACAAAAGTTACAAGTTGATAATGAAGAACTCAAACTTTATCTAGGACTAAATGTGCAAAGAGTCTTCTAACAGAAATCACAGACCACAGAGATGCTCTTTAGTATTAGAAATTGGCCTCAGGCACAGTGATTGCAGCTAAGCTAACAGCGCAAACCATGCATGCACTGAGCCATCAGACTGCAATTGTCCATATTTTTAAAATGTTAGAATGTCTTCTAGAACTCTCCCAAATATATTTTGGGCATGTTCTGGGAGATAATCCACATCAGGGTACATTCTCAAGAAGCCACCCTGTTTAGGAGTCTAGAGGAGTGTAACTGTATGGAACTTATCAGACAGTGACAATTTTCATGAGGGTATGAGGATGACCCCTGACACCGCATACTCTACTAGGTGACACTGTTTATTAGGTTATATGTAGTCACTTTGACCAGTATTAAGTCAATCCAACTAAGTCAGGCTAGTATCAGGAAACCCAGCTGAGTGTCCTGATCGTCTGGCAGGCATCACGCCCTCCTAACTCTACATTAAATGTCTATATTTCCAATATAGTCAAGGGAGAATGATATGCTCCTTTGGAGAAGTCCTGAGAGAGAGATCCAGATACCTCTCCTTTTTTAATTAACTGTATCATAAGCCAATTAAAAGGAAGTGGTGTCTCTATTCATCCATGATCCAGATAGTACTCTTTGACGACATGCATTAAATGGAGCTGATTTGGTATCTTTTTAAAAAAATACATTGGTAGAATATTCCTAGACTAATTTTGCAAACTGGCCCAGTACAACAGTATCACAAGAATGAAAAGGCCTTGTTTTCAGGTCTCTCCTAGTGTTAAGTGCCATATAAATGTATCCCAGGGGATATTTTTAATCTCCAGGTGCTGAGGCATCCTGAGAAACCTGAGGGAAGGCCTGAGAGAGAGAGGAAAGACAACAAGACCACCCATCCTTTCAAAAGAAGTTGGGCTAGTATGCTGGTGGGAGACCAGGCAAGGCACAGCCTGAGTTCCCGTTGCAAGGTGCTGAACTGTGGTCCCAGGTCCTACTTGCTGAACGTGTGTGTTTACCGGGAAACCATCATCGAGAAAAAGTGTAGATGATGGCATTTGCCTCGCTTCCCTGTCTGTTGTGCAGGCACTGACAGCTGAGTGAGTCACTGAGCATTCCTACAGTCACCAGAGAGAAAGAGGCGCTGTTAGGATGCAAGTCCTCTGGACTGCTGTGGACGTCTACTTCAGGCTGCCTGATACATGCTAGAAATGTAAAACAACTTAATGAATGTTCCAATAGCAAATTTAAATACTGCTGCTGGAATGAATTCTTACTCTGGGCAGATCTGTGGGAGAGGTCTCAGTTGAGGATCCAACAGTTCTTCTGCCCCAGACTCTAAAAAGAAGCAGAGTACAGACACAAATGGAAACTAGGAGAGCAAAGGTAGCATTTTCCTTCACAGCTACTAGTGCTCCATTTGCCTTGGAGCTGCGGGTCAAGAAGACAGGGCTAAAATAGCTGGGATTTCTGCTTGCAAATAAATGAATGCACACAAGCAAATACAAAAGCAGTAGTGATTTTACACAAAGTCTTCACACATGTTCTAATGCTAGTTCATCATATTCTTCAACCGTAATCCTTTCTTCTAATGTAGGTGAGCTAAGCCAGACTTAACACTGTCAAACTGGGTCCAATTCAGGAGAGAAATCACGTTTTTAGATGTTAATGTTAATATGGTTCCAGAGGGGAGCTATTCCTGTTCAAGAGACTCTGTATGTCGCTGGCACAGAGAATTTGGGGCAGGGAAGCAAGAGGGGGATTAGTTTGCCTTTAATTTCTTTGACAATGCTTCTGACAAACATTTCTGTCATGAATAAGATCACTCAGGGTAAGGTGACAGTGTTATGGGAATCAGCTTTATGTAAAGGCTTACACCTGTCTTATTTAAGGATTTCCACTTTCCTTTTAGACAAATATGTAAAGAATTTCAAGACCTTCTAAGTCAAGACAGATCACCCCTCGGATCCTCCAGACCAACTCCAATATTAGACCTTGACATCCAGAGACATTTAACACATTTCAGGTATGATTTTGAAAGAGAAACAGTTAACTAAAATCCATACTTTTGGTAAAGATTACATATGATGTTATAATGATATTTTTTTCCTTACCTGGAAGAATATAATGTCCATAATCCCTCTGTTATCTGTGCCTACTAAAAGCAATGTTTGCTCAGCAATGTAGTTCCAGCTAGCTGCATTACCCTGCTTCTAGGACCACAGTCTGAGTAAGTCATTTTCTACATCTGCTGGCCAAATCTCCTCATCTGGCCAGAAAGTTGTCTTGTGCTAGATGTGAGCCAAATCACAAGCCAGTCACAAAGTGGGTGGTCCAGAAATGTAGAAACTCAAGTTCAGAACCAAAATAACAATATAGATAAAATAAAGTAGCAATAAAAGAAGGGACAGTTATGCTGCATCCTTACCAATTAGCTAACTAGTTCCAGAGCATCCTCTGTGCTACTGAGACCATTTGACACCATCTTACCATGACAATACTATTAAGTCTTTGGCCTCCAAAACAGAGTGACCTCAAAGCACACTACCCACTGGAACAGTCTTACTGCCCTAATTCCTGAACACTACCCTGGAAAGGTCTGAGAGAATGCAAGCTCATTCAGACTAAAAAGCCAGAGACTGGTAATATATTTAGACTCGGCTCTTGGGCCCATGCCCTAACATTGTATAATTTATGGGTGTAGACAGCCTAAGAAGCTGTTATGAAGACAAGGACCCATGGTACATGCATGCCAAGTCCAACCTTCATCAGAATCTTATCCAAGTTATGGGTAAAAATGTAGACGATTTGGGATCAGAAAGTTTTATTATCCCAGGAGTTGCTGTGCAATTTCACTATTTTGCTTCAGGCTATGTGCTAGGTACAGTCAAGAGTGAGACGGGAAATTCCAGAAGGCCACTCTGAAATAGTGGGGTCAGCTGAGATATTTATCAAAGATAAATGTGATGAAACATCCTAGAGGTGTTCCTGTCTTTACTCAGACCACAGAGGGGAATACATGACTAGCTGAGGCTACACATTTGTATTTTTTTTCTAACCATTAGCTGATACCTGAAAAAAATCAACATATAAAGAACTGTTCCAGAATGTTGTTTACAGACCACAACACCAAGCAGGTTCATTAGACCTACAAAGCCTTAGAATGATGTTGCATATTCTTTAGCACAGCCAGCTGAGCGACTCTTCATTCGTTGGCTGTACCAACAATTTTTGCGCCCCAACATTCCAACGTCTTTTAGTTATTAAAATTCTTATAGAGCAATGTTTAGTCCCTCAGACTTTGAATGGAATCCAATGCCCACCATCCCACTTCTTCCATCTAGCTGTTGGAGGGTGGAGAGAGGCAAGGATAATGCCTAGTCTGCAAATGCACATGTTCCCATTTGTTCTTATACATACCTGTGTGCATCCTATGCATAGACGAACACATCTAGACAACCCCACTCCTATTCTCATGTAGTGATGTGCACACACATACACATGCCTCTTACATCTATGTATACTTTGCCTTGTACACACACACTCCAAAATACCTAACTACACTTGCACACCAAGGGAGACATATTTGTACAGGATGCTCATCAAGGAATTTTAATGGGCTATCTAGGCTTGTGGAAAAATAGATAATTCCCCATTACATGCACACAAAGTAAATGTGATACAAGGCAGCTAATCCCCAAGGATTCCTGTGTTTAAAGAAGAAATAGCAGTCAGGATAAAATGCTGAAGGCTTCAGCTACAAAAGCTGTCAACTGGTACAGCTCCCATCCCTCTTTCTTTGCCGCACTTCAGTAGGTTGGGGTACAAACCTTCTGTAGGCAGATCCTGGATCATTCAGTACTTTCTTTCATGCCTGCTGTAGACAATAAGTGTTGGACTGAAGATGGGCTCCTAGAAGAGCACAGGTCTTGATCCTACACAGATGCTTCCCTGGGCTTAAATTAGACAGCCTTCTCAGATTGTGCTTGGGGAATGATGAGTAGTACTGCCAGACCCAGAGGCTGAGCTCAGACCATATTCCTCTTCCATCTATTGTAGAGAAGCTGAGGTCAGATCCAGCTTCTGACCCAGACTTATAACTCTACTCATCTACATACGGGTGCCTCCATTTCAGCCACGTGTATATCTTTTGCTATAGTCTCTAGGGTTCTCATCTGCACAGCCTGTGAAATCTGCGTTACAATTAAGCAGTCCTAACATAGACATCTACATTAGTGTGACTCAAATTTCTCTCTAAACTGCATTGACTGAACAGCCTGGTCTAGATCTCCAGCTGAATGGGAGCATAGCCAACCAGTAGTACACACTAGATACTTAATATTGTAAATAGCTAAATCTAGTGTAGGAAAAAAAAAAATCATTATTCCCATTGCCTAGATCTGGAAGCCTTCACAGCTAGGTCATCCTGCAGCTACTTGCCTTATTGAGATTAAATATCACAGAAGGCACTTAAATCTGTCTCAGATGCCAGAGAAGATGCAAGAATGCAACTCACTATGTTTTCCAGGAGCATTAAGTATTTTCTCAGTGAAGATTTCAACACAGACTGCTCTAACCAGTCACTTGGTTTCTCTGTCTTTCTGTGAGGGATGAGCCTCAGACTGAACCAACCTCTGTCACAGGAAAATTGTACCTGATCAGTTGGGGATGAGAGAAGAGGAAGAAATTCTTGGTACCTCAACATACAGAGAAAGTCCTTGTAACACAGGAGCAACAAGCTCACTGTTGTCTGAGGCACAGCACAGCCTTCTTACTGGTCAGAAGCACAAATAGCTGTTTATCATTATATGTCAGTTGGAAATAATTTCATAAAAAGATGTTGAAAGCATCTGCCTAACAAAGCACATGGCCAACACTAATTCAAATATCCAAAGTACATTGGCCTCCATGTGCCTGATCATGGGCCCCACCTATGATCAGATTTCCAAGAGCCAGCTGTCTTTTATTTCTTTATTTATCATTATTTATTACAGTGAAATGAACACAATTATCATGTATCTATATCTATAGATGAAGAACCTTGTAACTGTATGCCAGAGAAGGATTTGACCTTCATACCATCGTCACTGTCAAATACTCTGATGACATCTATGATAGTCAGAGTCTAAAACTGGACTGTCTTTAACAAGTGGCTGGTCCTGATTGTACATATGAAATTAACGTTATTTATGACCAAAATGCCCAATAGCTGTTGGTACTCTGCAAATAGGTCTTGCAGAGGAGACATAAATCTAAAGCAGTGACTCCATACTGTTATCACAAATTTTGTAACATGCTTTTTCAATAGTGAAATTTTCATCTTCATCTCTATCTATATACCAGAACTGTGGGCTTTGTCACAATAAATTCTCTGTCTCTATGCTGCATAAATCTCTAGATTGGAACGGGGCCAAAATGTTACATTTGGCAAGGACAAGCCGTAGTCTTTCACTGAAATCTCCAACAAGGGTTTGTGAATGTTTTTAGCATAAATATAGCATGTTTTTCAACCATTATCCAATATGAGCTGATTTTTGATTGTGGGAAATCTCATATAGTTTCATAGAGATTTAATATAACAAGAAGAGGTTCAGAAATTCTGCCTTGTAAACGATAATCAAGACAGCAAAGAGATTACAAGATTAAAAGTTGGTATTTTATACATATATGTATATGCTTATGCCATATCATGTCAGAAAGTTGAAGAGATATTTTTATGACCAGTAAAATTCAAAGGAATCACACAAATGTCTATTATTAGAATAAATTCTAAGATAATGAAAGACTTTTTGAAGACCTATAATACCTGACACCTACAGTGTAATGCAGCCTCTATTACCTTGGGGTAAAAGGGAGTTTTCTTTAGGAATAAATTACCCTACAGATCGTAAATGTAGAGTTATGTGCTCCACTTGCTCATGGATTTTATTACTTGCTCAACATTAATAATTAAGGCAAGGGTTCATAAACTGGCACAGGTCAGATTGAAGCAATGTTTCCCATTTCCTCTGTTTTAAAACTTCAAGCTCACACTTCTCGCTGAAGTTTTTCCACTGACTCCCACTTCATCAAGATCTGTAAACTTGTGTCCAAGCTGAAGTAAGGATAGTCCCCATGAAGTGATCAGAATTGCTGGGTTTACTCAAACCCCAAACTCAAAGTTCATGTAAAGCATAAACCAGGGAAAATCTTCAAAGGAGCTGCAGTGATCTTGAAAACTGCTGAGTTTTGCACAACTTTACCAGATACAGGAAAACCAGAGGCTCTTCTACACCTCTGGTACAATCATATTTGTGCAGCTGCTCACCAAGATGTCCATCCGACCTGAATACAGAAAACTTAATGCTGCATGAAGAATGATTTCCCAATACTGTTTGATCATGAACAGACAACTCTGTAGAGCCTTACATTCATAGCAGCAAATATTGTGCACTACCTGTGCCAGGGTAATATTGTGTATGCTTTATTCAAGGTTTATCCTTTTTCAACACATTTTGGAATATCTTACTGCGAAGAAGTGATACAGATATTAGTAAATAAAAGTAGGGCCAGGACAAGGCATATATCGGCTGCCAGTGCTGCTTTTTTTTCAGAATTCCTGGAGTTTTGTTGTTTGGTCTAACTAGCACTGTCCCAAATTATTCCTGGGCACAGTGGCACAAATATACCACTAATATATAGATTGCTTGAGTGTTGAGGGAAGCACCAGCCCTTATTACAGCCCAGTTAGGTGCCTTACCTGTGCTATAAATAGTATACTAAGATTTAAAGAAGTACAGCCTTGTCAGGGATGGATCATAAGCCACCAACCTCACGGGTCGTGTTGGGGCAGGTCTGCTTTCTAAGCATATACACAAGTGTGGGTTCAAGAAGGATCAAAGAAGGATCATAGAGTCATAGGTAATATGTTGTAGGGCTACCCAAGCTGTCTTTCAGCTTCTTTGATTCCTTCATGATAAATGCAGAGGAGCAAGTGAAATAATCCTGTGGGTTGTATCTGGTCTGAAAGCTACCACTTGAGCTATG